CCCCCTCTCTTATAATGCCATTGTTATTCAACTTAGGGTACTTATAACTATTTATGCAAGAGTATAGATTTACATAACTCTTTGCATGCCCTGTTGCAGCACCGGTGGCAGGGAGGGAGCTGATAAGTCAACAAGCATTTTCTTCCCGCTCTTACTGCTGATGTTGCAATTAAATATTTGAAGCTTACTACTCATGACCGTATAACCTGTAAATGTTGCTTAATAATTACATCTATTTTACCAATGTTCTGCTTTTATACATTAACTGGGATTGTATATCCTAAACCCATTATTCCTGCAGCCTGCTCTTTTGAACAAGTCTGACATAGAGGTGCTACTAAAGAATTGTCTCTCCTGCATTATCATTCTATACTGTTGAAATATGTCTGAACCTAGAATGTCAGAGGTGTTAGGGGGGCTTTCAAGGTCAGGACAACCACTGCGACAAGTATTATCAAGCAAACCTTGCGGCCGTAGTGCTACATATGTAAGAGTTTACAACCACTTTTAAGTGTTATTAAACCCTTATGGATACACAAAGCTGGTTGGGGAGCAAACATGAACGAGTGCCCCATTGCAAGTGGTTTGCTATGGGGGCACTTTGTGGATGGGAGGGGCCAGAAGTACCTGTGGGGGGACACGAGAAGAGGGAGATTTGGAGCTGCTCTGTGCAAAACCTTTGCAGGGAAGTATAACATGCTTGTTTAAAGAAAAACAATTCTTTACAATCATTATACAAAAATGGCTCTTCTATGGATCCCGTCCAGTACTAGAACCTGTCATTACCTGACATGAGGGATTGATAGTAGTAACAAAGCAGTGCACATCTTTGTGTCATGCACAAAGTTGTCCTAGAATCAGCCACTCTATCTGGTCAGCCATTGGAAAATTGCAGGACTGGCAGGAGCTTTGCAAATGCCAGGGGACAGCCATCCTCAGAATAGGATAAAACACTGAGTTACCTCTGTCTGGACGAGGTAGTTCCGCTGTGTTCTGATGTGTTTCAGAAAGCCCAGAACATTGACTGTGCTCTTGTCCTTTATCTGCTGCAGCATGCTGTCAATCACAATGTACGTTCCCGTCCTGCCAACTCCAGCACTGCGGGGTGGAAAGAAGGGGCAGTTACAAACTAAAAAAGAATTTTATTTTTAGAGGCGCTTCTAAGAAAAGAAGAAAACTAAGCTCACCTGCAGTGTACAAGCACGGGCCCCATGTCCGCTTGTTGAGCAGCTGATGATCTTCGGACGAAGGTCAGGACTGGCAGTGCATATTCTGGGACACCCATGTCTGGCCATTGTGTATAATGATATTGGATGACTGCTCTTTCATTGTGACGACCCTTTGGGTTTCCTTTCTGACCCTATAAATGAAGTTGAAAATCTATAAACACAAAATATACAATAATAACCTGTACTCTAAGATATATAGCCACATGAAGCTACAAATTAGGTGGTTATGTATCCAGTTATTGAAGACATCACAATCTAAACAATGAGATCCCATGGTCTTGACTCTATGGGTCCTCTTGCGGTGACATTGGGAGCGTGACTGAATGGGTGTCCATTAGCAAATGGCTTACCGAGGGGGCACCCAGGGGAACAAACAGTAGACAGCGCCAATGGGGGACTCCAGAAGACGAGATATGGGACCACTCTATGCAGTATCATTGCACAGAGCAGGTAAGAATAGCCTCTTTTTTTTATATATACATGATTTTACATTTCCGAGTAGGGGGAACGTGCGAGGAGCACATGCGCGCCCTAACCATGCCACCATTCGTCGCTGCAGCTGTCAATCACTGGGTCCCAGCCGGTGATTACTCGCCGGCATCCCGTGATTACCGAGGATCTCCGACGGGAGGATGACTGTTTTGTTTACTAACAGTTCTCTTCCCTGTCAGCTCGGTAAACAGCTAAAGGCTGCTTTCACACTAATCCAAGGGTGGAGCGCAGTGCACCTGCAGGTTAGCTGTACTGACCCATAGACTTCTATAATATCCTGGGGGTTGGTGTGCTTTTCTGAAAGCGCACCAAAACTCTTGAATGCAGGAAAGCCAGGGGATCTAACATTTTGGGAAGGAGAGGTCAACAATGACAGCCACATACATTCCCAGCATAGGTTTTCTTTACTCACGTCTAATCTGATGAATCAGCAGATTTCAACATTGATATCTGTGACTGCTTTCCTCAGTTGACAACTACATCAGCCAAGTTAAGTTGTACAAAGAAAGCCACTAAAAAATGTACATTACAAAACTGTTTAAAAAAAAAACAAGGATTATTTTACCTTCTTCATCTTTACATTCCTGATGGTGAATGTGCGCACTGTGTAGCAGGCATACACCCTTGTGCTCTTCAGGGTCACCATAATATTTCCATACTCTTCGCTATTCTCTGTTGGCCAGTACTGGTCACATTTTTCCTCTGGAAACACAAAAACAGAGTTGAATTTAAGCTTCTTCCCATTCCAAAACCATGAGCATTAATATGGAGGACATGAGTGTTATGGATTTCAGCATTCCAACTTTTAGTAATGAGCAAATAACTGCAGATCACCAATATACACATCTGCCCACTCATCTTTTTGAAGAGAATAGGCCAATAGGTGATGATAGAGCCCACCAGAAACTGATCCTTGCAGATTCTCTTCTCCTTACCGGTTATTGCGACAGATCATTTTCCTGCCATATACACAACACCATCACGGTCTATTCACATAGGGATGTTTTCTTTCAAACATTTCTTGAACTTGTACAACAATAGTATGCAAAGAAGGAGATGTCACACAGGAGTGTTAGAGTTTTTAAAGCCTACCCCTGCTATAGCTTTCCTAGTCATTGCTGAAACACATGTCCCCATTGGAAGATTTCCCTTCTATTCCAGTTCCAATGACAACTCAAGGTTTAGGATTTTCTCATCACTTCTCAGTCTCAGCGACACTGGTTACCAGGACAAATAAAGACAGCGAATCTCCACAAGAGAAACACAGACAACAATAAAAACTTGACAAGTCCCTAATCTTTCCAGACTATCCACAGCTAAAAAGGAAAAACTTTAAGGGTTCATTTACTGGGGCGACAGGCTCTACTGCCCCCTCCCAGTTTTTATTATGGACTACAGAATATTTAGCCTTTATGACAGGGGTGCTCAATCTGTGGCCCTGGAAGCCCTCTGATGTGGCCTTCAACTTCAAATCAAGGAAGCGCACTTCTATTATATCCTGCTCTCTTGGTGCGCTTTCTCAAAGTGCACCACACCTGCAAAATATAATAGAAGTCTATGGCAAAGTGCAGCTATTCCACAGGTGGACTGCGGTGTGGGTAAACAGCACTGCATCAGTGTGAAAGCAGTCTTATAGGGGGCTAAGGACAGAAAAGACTTGTTTACATTTGTGAACTGGGGAGCATTAAAACCCTATAGTTGAAATGTGTTTTTACGCCCCCCCCAACCACTGGGATGGAAATGGTAACCTCGACCCATCCTCCAGGGGGCCCGTGCGGCCTCCCTGTCACATTCTGTTTTACACTTGGACAGGAGGGGTGGTGGGGGCGGCATATACAGGAGAGGATTCTCTCCGTTTTACTTTAACTGCTGAAAACCTGGCTTCTTCTCCAATCCCTTCCGCTTGCATTCAGTGGCTGTGTTCATTATTCAAATAAAAAATTCTAATTTCTGAACCATTTCATTTCATTGTGGCCAGTACCAATGCAATGCACATGGTTTCGGTATGTTAATGTGGCATTTACAGGATTAAAACAAGCAGCTACAAGGTGATATAGTGTCTCCTCAGCATCTGTCAAACACCTCTGAAAAGAGATTTGAACATGGATCACTTTTCAAAAGGTGCGGCAATCTTGCCACACATCTAAATATAGACAAAGTCTAAAAAAACCCTCATACATAATATAAAAGATAAATTAATGCTATAATATTATCAATAGATAATAGCAACACTATACCATCTCAAAATAACAATTTTCAAAAAAACATTGCTTTTTGGACAACTACATAACTTGGCAACCTCTCCTATAGAATTTATTGTCAAAAGCAAAAAAAAAAAAAACCCAATGTCTCTTTTTTTTATATAAATACTGCCTATTGGAGTTCTTCATTCCCCTTTTCATGGATCTGTAATCCCGCACCCTGGAGTGACATCCCCAGAAGGTGAGAAAAGTGCTTACGAAGGCAGACGCTACTTACTCGTCCTTTTTCTACTAGGTTGGTTATCATAACAATGATTCCAGTGTTTTGCTCCCAAATCATCCTCCAGAAGTCTTCAAAAGTCGACTTTAAAGGTCCCTGGGCAGCGATGTAGGCCTTTGCTTTGTTGTAGCCCTTCAAAGACGAGCAAACACAAGATGAAAAGCCATCTCGTGGCAAACAAATTAATAATTTAAGGCAAGGAAAAGAAGTGAACTATCTTTTATGGATTGAATACATGATGTGAACTGTCCTTTGATACAAATTTAAAAATGAAGAAAAAAAAAAATATATGGATGCAACATCAGAAAAAAAAAAAAAATCAACCGACTTTCTCTCGTTCTATTTGATAATCAGGAAAAACAGCGTTGTGTGTATGAAGACAACTTACATCAACATAATTGGCATTAATGTAGTCACTGTGCTTTGAGTCTTTGCCAGGAATGGGCCTCAACTTCACTCTGCTGTGATCATCTGCAAATAACAAACACGCAGAAAACTTACTGCCAGAAATCAGGGAGGACACTTTGAATATGAACATTTTCAAATGGTAATTGCGGAGTAAATTTACAGATCAAGGACGTTTTACAAGAGACGTCATTTAGAGAGTTTGCTGCAATTTTATTTAAAGAGTCTTAGTCAAAGGTTTATGCGGCCTAAAGGCAACAATCTGGTTGTACAACCTCTACACAAATGCCTTTAGACTTTTCCAACAATTACACAGTTCAGGGCAGAGGAGGGTGGGAACATTTGGCCTGCAGTGATTGATGGCCATGGGGATTGGTGGGTGTTGTCTTAAAGCTGCCCATAGAATCTCAGGGGTGTCAAACTGGCGGCCCTCCAGCTGTTGTGAAACTACAAGTCCCATCAAGCCTCTGCCTTTGGGAGTCATACTTGTAACTGTCAATCTTGCAATGCCTCATAGGACTTGTAGTTTGGCAACAGCTAGAGGGCCACCAGTTTGACACCTGTGCCATAGATGGATCAAAATTTGGCTGGCTGATCTCTCAATCAACTTCTGTACAATCGGCCTATCCGTTATTTTTTTTTCTGCTTGATCAGTGCCGTTGGCTATAGTCGGTGGTACTGATTATTGTATTCTGAATGCAGGGAAGTCTCCTTGTTGTCAGAATACAAAAGGCTATGTGGGAGGCATTATAAGAGGAGAGAGAGGGGCGCCAGACTAAGTGCAATATTTGACAATCATTTATTATTGCACACAATGGTATGTAACTCACAAGAGGTAAGTAGTTAGCAGGCATGGGTACATAGGGACATCATCCAGAAGAGGTTCCAGAGGCAGAGAAGAGGGGGTAGATGGACATCTGGGGGCCATTGCTGTGGTGAAAGTCAGGTCTCCTGAGTCACATCGAGTCCTCTGCAGCGTGTACAGGCTGTGTCTCGTGTATGGATCCAGGCTGGAACGCAATGTCTGATGAAGAAGCAACTAGCTTTTCAACGCGTTACCGCCCCTTCAATTAAGTGACATCACTTCCCCCTGGCGGCCATCTTGCATTCCAGCCTGGTTCCATACACGAGACTCAGCCTGTACACGCTGCAGAGGACTCGATATGAGTCAGGAGACCTGGCTTTCACCACAGCCATGGCCCCATATGTCCATCTACCCCCTCTTTTCTGACTCTGGAACCTCTTCTGGATGACGTCTCTATATACCCATGCCTGCTAACTACTTACCTCTTGTGAGTTACATACCATTGTGTTCAATAAATGATTGTCAAATACTGCACTTAGTCTGGCGCCCCTCTCTCTCCTCTTATCTTCCACTACAGAGTCCAGCTTATCTCTATAGGGTGCTGCCTCATGACTGTGCTATCCAAATAGCTGAGTACCTCCCTACTACCTATGGGACTGTAATATTTAACCCCACCTCTCCAGAGCCAATATATTACCTATGTGGGAGGCATTCCTCCATTGACACTTAGTGTGTTGATGTGGGAATCAAATCATTTTTTCCTCCTTCACCTTGCTGGTTGAATGACAAAAAGCTTAATTTATGGCCTGCCTTAGGCCCCATGCTCCGGCGTTTGGTTGTTTGCAAAGGAAACAGATGCACTCTCCAGCCCGCTGCCAGCAGCCTGTCAAACCCTAGGAGAGGCTGACAGCTCCTGGGGCTGGATGGTGCACCTAGTGGTATTAGCACCCAGGGATATACAGGCCTGCATTCCAGGCATTTGTCCCGGGCGCATACTGCCCTAAACAATAGTACCGCTAGGTGCACCGTCCAGGCCCAGCAGTTGTCAGCCACTCATATAGTTTGACAGGCTTCACCTGTGTTCTCGCCCTGCACCAGGGCTATACCGCCATTGTGAATGGGACCTTGACGTTGGATAGAGTGGAGTAGTATTAGAACACCCATTAGGTTTTGTATTGCAATCTGTGCCCCTGTTAGGAACATTCACTCTCTCTATTGGTCCTGTTTACCATTACCACTGAGATTGGGTTCACACTGATGCGGTGCAGAATTCGCAACGTTTTCTGTATGAATTCCGCACCGCATCAGAATCGCACCCCGTTCATGCGAACCACTGCAGGTGTATATGCTAAGTTAACATCACCCCGAATTCGGTCCGCAAAACGCGGTGCAATATGCAGAATCGGATCGCATATGTGTGAATACTCATGCGATCCGATTCTAGTGCGGACCCAAAAAAGGGTCCTGCACCTTTCTGGTGTGGGTGCGGTGCAATTTGAGCCATACAAAATGTATGGCTCTAATCGCACCGCACACAAATCACATGTGATGTACACAGGAATGCGGTGCGGTTCCTGTGCGAATCACATGCGATGTACCGCACCGCATTAGTGTGAACCTAGCCTGAAAGTAATAAGAAATCTCAAACTGTGGGTTGTCAACAGAAAAGCAATAGAGTGGAAATCTTCCAATGGGTACGCTAGTTCTGGTGACCTGTGGGACCTCATGGATTCCCTTAATTTACAGGGATTTCCTCTCACTTCCTGTTGTGGCTATGGGACAGGAAGTGAAGGGAAATCTCCCCAATGGAACACAGATGGCAATGAAAAAAAAAAAATCTTACGGGTTATAAAACTTTTTTTGTATTATTTTGGATAGCGTAAGGGAGGATCACTTACGCTATCCAAAATAAAACAAAAAAGTTTACCTATATAAGGGGTATAGAATATAATCACCCCCCTTTAGAATAATCAAATTTTGTTGCTTTGCAGCCTGAAATTTAGACATACACAGTTTTTTGTTTTATCCAGCTGTATTTACTCGGTGCAACTTGTAACATCCAAGTGAAAGATATAACACCAACATGTCAGAGAAAAATGTAAAAAATACAAAAACAGAATAACGGAGTTGGAAAAAGGATTCCCCCCTCCTAAAAAATGACTTGTAAACTCAATTGGGTGTAGCTAATCACTTTCTCAATGGCACACAAAGCCATATTACTTTCAATTGTGATCAGACATAGCCATTTTGATTACCTCAGCATGAAAAGAGCTTTCCTGGAGCATTTCAGTCCCTGGTAATGCAACTGAAGCAAACGATCAACTATGGGTGGCAAGGCACTGTGAAAACATCTCTGAGATAAGGCTGTGGACAGGCAAGAGTCAGGAGATGGATACAAAAAAATTTCAAAGGCTTTATTAATACCTAGGAGTACAATTAAGTCAATTATTAAGAAGTGGAAGGTATTTGGTACAACCCAAACTCTCCCAGGATTAGGACTTCAGTCCAAACTGGATGAAAGAGCCAGGAGAAAACTGGTCAGAGAGGCTACCAAGAGGCCTACAGCAACTCTGAAGCGGTTACAGGAATTTATGACAAAGAGTGGTCATTGTGTGCATGTGACACCAATATCACAAATTATCCACAAATGTGGCTTGTATGGGAGGGTTGCAATTAAAAAGCCGCTCCTCAAGAAAGGTCACATGCAGTCACAACGGAGCTTTGCCAAAATGCATCTTGAAGATTCTGAGGCCACATGGAGAAAGGTGTTCTGGTCAGATGAGACTAAAATTTTACTATTTGGCGTCAACACTAAACGATATGTCTGTTGGAAATCCAATCCAGCTCACCATCCAAATACCACCATTCCTACAGTGAAGCATGGAGGTGGGAATATCCCCATATGGGCAGGGACTGAAGCACTTGTCAGGATAGAAGGAAAATGGATGGAGCAACATACCATCAAATTCTTGAGGAAAATGTGCTGCCCTCTGCCAGAAAGTTGTCAATGGAGGTTAACCTTCCAACATGTCAATGACTCAAAGCACACAGAGACAATGAGCCCACAGTGGTTAAAGGAGAAAAAGGTGAATGTCCTTGCATGGCCTAGTCAGAGCCCAGACTTAAAACCCATTGAAAATCTGTGGAATGACTTGAAGTCTGCAGTCCACAAATGGTCATCATCAAACTTAAATGAACTTGAGCAGTTCTGCAAAGAAGAGCGGGCAAATATTGCAGAGTCTAGAATTATAAAGTTAGTAGAGATATATCCCAACAGGCTAAAGGTTGGAACTAAAGCAGAAGGTGGTTCAACAAAATACTGACACACGGGGGGGATCCTTTTTCCAACTCAGTGATTCTGTTTTTGAATTTTTTTTTACATTTTTTTCTGACATGTTGGTGTTCTATCTTTCACTTATAAGTTGCACTAAGTAAATACAGCTGGCTAAAACAAAAACTGTGTATGTCTTCATTTCAGGTTGCAGAGCAACAAAATGTGATTTTAAATGGAGGTGATTCTTTTTTATACCCCCTGTAGTTCTACTTTAACAATTCATTAAAGGTCTGGTTTGAAGGGTCAATCCACAAAAAACTGATATGTTAGTGATGTACGGACACGATTTGTGTGCAATCTTAAGTCTCAGGCGTCTCCCTCCTTCTGCTGCAGAAGGATCTACAGTCCACAACACCCTTTCCATAGTGTAAAATGAATGAAAATCCAACAAGAAGTGCGAGTTTCTTCAAAGCGGTGACAAATGGGTGGCCTGAGACCTGCAGAGCTTTCGTCCCCAGAAGATGCAACAGTCTGGTGGGCGATTCAATCTGTCAGCACCTACTCATTAGTGAAAATCACTTTTAGGTGGATTGACCCTTTAAGCTAGAAAAAGTGCCCTCCAGCAAGTCTCAGAATCATGCGGCCAGTGAATGATCTACTCCCTCATCATTAAACGGTAGCGGGATGTTCAGTGCACAGCAGGAGCTGCAATCAAACGCGGCTTTTCTCCATGTCCGGCACAGAATGAAAGTTTTGACATTTTTCATTTACATTCAGTCAGTAGAAATTGGAACTGAAGTGTGTAACAGCAGCTAATTAACATTTAATACTGTGTGTGGAACAGTGTCGGGAACAAGTGTCCACAGATTTGGCACTGGCGCCTGGAGCTCATGCCGAATTTCTTTTTATTTTTTTAATTCTTTGTAACAATTAAGCATTTCTGGAAGTCATGTAGTCATTAAAGCAGAACACCGGCCATACATACAATAAATATCGATGTACCCCCCATCCCCCTTTCCTTCCTTCCCAGCTAAAGCAATGCTTGTTTTACTAATGCTAGCCATAGCTGCCTAATTGGTTGAAATTTGAGACAAGAGAGGCCCTGTTGGCACCTCTCGGCTCCACAAACGTCAACTTAAAAATGGAAGGAGTTGGGTTTAAAATTCTTGGCTGAACAATGGCTGTCTAATTAAATGTAATCACTCTTTGGGTATTGTGACAGCCGCAGGTTTCGGCAGCTGTCTGGATACGTTAGCTGCAGCAGTGCCGGATTAAACCTCTGTGGAGGCCCATAGGCAGTTGAGACCTTGGGGCCTCCCTCGCAGGTTTCTGGAAGTTCCTCATGCTCACTCTGTAGAGGGATAACATTTAACTAAGTAGTGTGCACGTTGGCCGCTAGATGGAGATGACCATCACTCCTCTACACCTAAGTAGGTTGTGCCGAAACGTTTTACAAACTGATAACTGAAAGAAGATGAGGTTTCAAGAGACAAACTGTAATGTGATGTCTATG